TATTTCTTTATTTAACCAAAGACAACGAGCTAGTTTTAACAACATCATTCCTACCCCTTATAAATAAGGTAGATTTCTCCATTCTCCGTACTGGTAATCTCCTTTTTCACTAAAAGTTGGTGTTGAAAATATAAAAGGCGCATAAAATAAGGTAGTTAGTACGAGACACTTCCAATGTACACATATCTATCGGTATGACTAAATCAAAGACAATTATAAACTAACTAGTCTAATTTTAGGTTATAATACACTCTGACTCAAAGTCAAGGCAATGCGTAGACTGTCGCACCAATATCTTTTATTTTCATTGAACTTGCGCTTTTGAAATAGACTACTTTGTTTACTTCTATTTTAAATCTAGCTTCTTATTATCTGTCAACGGAGATTATTTCAATATCGTACTTACTTTAAACGAAACCTTTATAGTATATATAATAATATAATATGCCGTGTTCTAAACTTTATATAGATCGCAATCCTTTACTTGTAATTACAAGCAATCTAGCGGCAAGATCTCGACAGTCGACAGGCACGGGCCGTAGCGAGCCCGCAGCGCAGCCTCGTCGCTCACACAATGCCGGTCAAGCTTATCGCGACCATCGCCGAGTAGAGCGTACCGCTTAAAGTTATCATTATGGCCCCTCGCCCGCCCCTGCCCTGCCTTGATTCATGCGTGTAATTAAATCTTTTGTCAGTCTCCAAGCAACCCTCCCGCTCGCAGCCAACGGAACCTTTGTATTTGATGCACGTAAGATAACAAGCGGACGGCGCTCTACGCCGATAGTAACTCGCTGATTGATACGTTTGCGATACAACCGACATAGATTGAGATGCGGTCATCATGGGTTGGCGGATTCTGTCCTAAGTTATCTTACTTTAAAAGTCTTTATAGTTCAAAGCTGAGTTATAACGCGGGTTTTCAAGTATAAACAATAAAAGAAAAACACCAACGGCCATTTCATCATATAAATAAGTATTAAATTAATAGTCAATTGCATAAGCTATAAGCTAATTCTTTACTTTTGTGAAACAGAGTTTTAAAAATCTGAAACAAAACCCGTCAAAGAAATTCTGGACGAAAAGAAAATTTAATTTTGTGTTCATTAGCGTGGAACTCCAGACGTACTTCGTTTAGATAAACTTTTAATTAAAATGTATCAAGCCGAAGCACTCTGAAGATTCCTAACTGTTTGTTAACAGACATTTCTTGTCAATTAATTTCCTTAAGTAAGCTCGCGGCTGAATGCGAACAAAAGGTTTTGTCGTTGTAGCTAGCTTGTGGTCGACACAGCCGGATGTCCACTGCTACTAGCAAATATCAATTAGTAGACTAACTGAATAAGTAAACAATAAAAAATATACCAACTTACCATCATAGTTCCAAGTACGTATCTAAATGATATATAGAATGAATAAGCCGGCGAAACAAGAGGTGTTAAGATTAATCGATGAAAAATAAAAGTATGTTTTAAATTGCCAATACTTAATATTTTATTAAAAAAAAATTGTATAACATCACCTGATTGCGATGTAAAAAGAATCTAAGCTTATTTGAATCTCTCCTAGACTTCAATATTGAATGCCTTTCCATTGAATGCAGTTCATTTCTAAAGAGAAATGAAAATGCTTTTCTAGCAAGCGAGCTTTTAGTAGAGATTATTTTGAAGTAAGGTTCCTCGTAAGCTTTTTATTGATAAGTCGAAATGATATGATTCAGCTAATTGCAATTTTATTAGGAGTTTTTATAACTTTTCTAAATGCGTAATCAAATAAATGCATTTTTTCTTTCTTAAACACGTTTTTGTTCAAAAAATTTAAACTTTACTTAAATTCTAGTAATTCACAAAACTGAATAAAGCACATATTTATTTTTGAGCAGTAAACTACAATTGTACTGTTGAAAGGTTCGTGCAGATAAGTTAGTTTATTTGCGAGGTATACGCAAGCGGGGGACATGTCGCGATGCTCATGATATAAAGGCGGGCAAAGGAACTGCGAGCGGCGAGCGTTGCCAAGTAAAAGCTTCGTGCCAGATTCCTATTAGGAAATGATAGCGTGATTTATGATCACAATAGACTTGTGAAATTGTCACTGTACACAGGTTTATTCTTTGTTGAAATGCTATTTTAGTTGTATTCTTAGAAAAGCTTTATTTGAAAAAAAAAAGCTTCTACCAAGTTGTCGATTTTAAATTTAGTTGCCCTCAACACATAGATTGTACTATCGTTTCTATTCTAATAATAATCAATTCTATACATTATGTTAAAGTTTAATCAAGTTGTAATATGTATGAAGACATTTAATTAGGTCGTAATTTTAGACTAATGTTGTTAACGTTTCTTTAATTATATGACTACGATATCAAACAATGGCATTTTAGAGATTGTGCAGTACATAGTTAAACAAAGGGCTTTCTTGAAATTAATTACCCGAAAAGCGATAAATTAAACGGTATATGTAAATAGTAGAGCTTGTCCGAGTGGAGTCCGGAACGGTCGTGCAAGTCGTACAAAAACTGTCCGGCGGGAACGCAAGGCGCGCCACCTCGTCGGCACTCGGGAGGCGGGCGAAGG